AAAAATATCCATAGTGTAAAGTAATATTTATATATCAAAATCGTTTACTTGTGAATAATATTAATTAATATTCTAATATGTTTTCAGATTATTTCTTTTAATATCCAATATGTATTAAATATATGTGAATATATGTAATTATGATAAACTACTATAAATAATCATTATATATTTAAATGTTTTATTTTTTTTTTATATTTGTGTTCTCAAGTAAATAAATTTCTGCATTTATATTTTTAAGTATGTAGCATATACAAATGTGCAAATAAAAATGTGTCTCATTTACCTCTTGAGTAGAAGTAACTTCTTTTGTAATACTATTGTTCTTTTCATGTTCTAATGACATGTTATTTTTAAGACTAATATTCTTAGACAGCATTTAATGTTGCATAAAGATTTCAACCTCTTTCGAGGCGATGCTTGTCTTGTCCATATTCTTACTTTGTTCCAAAATTTCTTTTGACAATTTCTCAATTACCTCTTCTTCGTGAAGAGAAAATGTACACGAAGGCCAAGAGTTACGATCTGACATTTTTATTGTCGACGTTGCTTGAGGTCTTTGTTGCATTTTAAATCGATTAAGTTGTATATTAACTCTCTCATTGCTTATAATCTTTGGCTTAGCTTTGGTTTCTACTATTTCGGATTTCTGTATACTTTAACTGTATCTATTGATATCTATTTCACGTGAAGGTTCATCTCTTGGAATTGCTTCATTGCCTATAATTCTTTGTGATTCAAGAAGAGTTTTTACAAGTTGGGCATGAATTGCTTCTATACTCTCAATCAGTCTCTGCATTGCTTGCGCATCTTTGTGTGCCGGTCTTGATGTAGGTAGTTGCATTAAGCTGGTTTCATCACTTGGACTGATTAGCAAAAGATCCATATCTGCAATATATATATGTAATATTATTTCAAATTACAATATTCCAAAATAAATATGCCAAAACAATATTCTATTAATACATTCAATGTAATACATGATTCAATATGTTATTCAATTAGATAGTAGCAGTTAATTATTTAAAGTAATTCATTATATTCATTGTACTCGCAATAATATAAAAATGTCTTATATTGCAGATAATTAAAACTGGATTGTATATTTAATGAAACTAATTTGTTTAATACTTTACCTTTCTGTCCATTTCGTACTTTTTTATCTTACTTATCTAATTTTTTTTATTTTGGCATTGTTTTTGGTCACAGTAACATCCGTTGCAGATAGTGCCATTCCTAACACATGAACACTTTTTGGTGGTACAATTAATCATCTTACATCGACATTTGTTAGGACTTTTAATAATTTTTGAATTTTCCGGTGGCGAAAGATGATTCTGTAATCAAATAAAACACATAAAGATCTAATAATCTCTCACATGATTATATAATAAAAAGCAAAATTTTATGTTACCTGTGATTTTTGTGTTTATGGCGAAAGATGATTCTGTATAATCAAATAAAACACATAAAGATCTAATAATCTCTCACATGATTATATAATAAAAAGCAAAATTTTATGTTACTTGTGATTTTTGTTTTTCTTTGTTAGTATTATATATTAGATCAAACATTTTCTGATTTTCGGTTACTATTTTTTGTAACCTGTTACTTTTTCTTTTTTCTTTTGCATAATTTACACACACACAGATAATGATCTTAATTTCTTTTCCAACAAAATTATTTTCTGTTTTCGCCTTAATGCTAATCTGTATAAAGAATATAGAGTTCGATAATTCAGATGGTGTAGCGCCCAGATAGTTAAAAAATATTTTTGAAAGAATTGATGATGAAAATCATATTTATGAAATAAAAATAACATTCATTGAATTATATCTGGACAATTTTTATGACTTATTAAATAAATCAAGAAATAAGTTATACTTAAAAGATGGAAACAACATGGTAAATACAACTAAAATACAGATACAAAATGCTAACGATGGATTAAAATACTTGGCGAAGGGAGCTATGCATCGCATAGTTGCAAAAACTGCGATAAATTCACATAGCTCCCGCGGACACGGAATATTCACCGTGTATATATACCAACAAAAAAAAAATGATCCGTAAGTAATTCCCTATATATGATTCTTTAATTGTATTTTTTCGATATCCTGTGTTAAATTTGTAAAAATAGAAATCTCTTTTTCAGAAATAATAAGATGTTATCGAAAATAAACTTAGTAGACCTGGCAGGAGCGAAAAGAGTAAAAAAAACATTAACAAGTGGCCAACAATTCAAGGAAGGCATCAGCATAAATAAAAGCTTGATGGCTATAACAAATATGACCAACAAAATAAATCAAAATCAAAAATATAAGAGTCATCGTGAAAACAAGCTGACACAATTTCTAAAAGATTCTCTAGGTGGGAAAAAAGTGTCCATGTGTTAGGAATGGCACTATCTGCAACGGATGTTACTGTGACCAAAAACAGTAAGATTTGTCGCTACCTGTTTGCCCATATACAAAGATGGTTACATTATAACCTGAAAAAAAATTATTTATTTTTAATATAATAAAAATCTATATCTCCAAATTATAAAAAATATAGAAATATTTACCTAGAAAAATATTTTCTATTAAGCCTTTCACAGCATTATTATAAAATTCCTCCTGTCCAACATCAGGAGGAAAAACATAATTGTATGTGAATATTTTATGTGTTCATAATTTGAACTTTAGGTTCTCCCGAGACAACATGTAAACATATTTGACCTTTTCAGCTTCATGTGCCGCCATTGGACGGATGCGCACAGCAACGCAAACAGTGTCGTCGCACATCTAAAAAAATATTACACGCATATTCAGTTTATCAAAGACCACAATATTAAACAAGATAATTTTGGTAAATATGCGGATGAAAGGAGGCAGTTCCGATGACCTTGACCTTGACATATGATTTTTTAAATTGAGAGCCTTAATTTTTTATTTTTAAAAAAGATATAATTCTATCGCCTAGGGACAAAGATATAATTGTTCGGGGTGAATGGTTAACAGACATACATATGGACCACTTTGATTATCTTTTACGAAATTGCTCAGATTATAGATCTGTCGAAACCTGGCGACCCCAATGTCTTGATACAATACAGCCTGTATCAGAAGATAAAAAACATATACAGATATTGCATAGTTCGTCAGGTTTATTGGATGGACATTGGGTATGCAGTTATTATAATAGAATTTTTGTCTCTATTTTACCTCTAGAACACGCTAATAAAGTATTGTACGGAGGTTGTGAGACACCCTGTATATTGTATTTCTCAAATAGAAGCTTGTCGGAATGACATTAAAAAAATTACACGATTGTTGGTTACAATCCAACAATTGTTGTTAGATATACACCCTCATTCTTCACAAGAAAACACAATAAATTTGAATTTACCGATTGGAACGCCTGAAGTATTAGAGGAATTTAATAAATTAATAACACAAGACTCCGTATCTTTATTACAATATGTAAGTACTCTTTATCAATTGAATTTAAAATACAAAAATATATGTATAATCAATTAAATTAAATCTTTTTACAGAAAAAGTTAATTAGAACTGTAGGAGGAAAAGATGCGAACAACATGTAAGAAACGCATTAAAACTTATTCTAATTGATCATTTATCTTACAAACTCTCATGGACAGGACAAAAAAATACCATTGAAACGAGATGCATGAATTTGTTAATGTCATTATCGGTATGTTTGTTTTCTTATATTTCATTTACGCTTTCGCGTTACGCAGGGCCGTCCTGCGGTCCTCGCGATCCTTGTTGTCATCACGGCCGTGTTGGCGGGTTCATCGCCCCGGAGTTGCCAAGATTTTCTGCTTTTTGGCTTAAAGGTGCGGGCTTACGGCTGCGCCCGATCGGCTCTCTTTCCTATCTGGTTGGATAGGTTCCGGGTTGAGAGTCCGCTCGCCGCTCCGTCCTTGGGACTCCCTCGATTCTGTCTGTGGGATATATACACGGCAAACTTTCGCCTATAATCAAACATCTCAATTTTTGTCACTTACAAAAGATCTTGTAAATTTAAAAATATGAACAATTTTAAAACAAATAGAGATCTATGATATTTTCACCTTCTTCAAATTTTATACTGCAATTTGTTTGACATAATATAAAATTTTTCCGAATTCTGTTATAATTTTTTTACCGCTTATTATAACTTTTAACGTAATTTTTTCATAAAAGGGGTACCCAGGGGTGGGCCAAATAGGATATTTCTATAAAGTAGACACTTTCCACAATCGATTAATATATTGCAAATGTTGGACCGTTTTGGACCATTAATTTTTAAGCGCTTTGAAAGTAAAACTTTAATTTTTTTCAAAATGATTAAGGAAAATGTTTATATATATACATATCGGAGGACTAAGAACTTTTACCACATTTCATCATATGTTTTCTATAACATTAACAAGCAAAATAGGTTTTTAAAAATACTAATGGATATTTTGATTAGTAGTCTAAATAAGAATTACTTTTTACTTGCTTTAATTTGATATTTGTCAATTGCCTTTACACAATTAATAAATCTCTTAACGTGATACTTGTGGCTCATACTGCCTCTTTATTTGCTTATATTTATAAAATAATATAGTTTTTGACCTCTTCGTAAAAGAAAATAGTTGCCGTTAAGAGAATTGTGCTCAGGTTTCGCACAGATATTCAGAAGAAATATTAGAACAGTCTACGAAATTTTCATGCTTTTGTCAATGTTTCGACATATGATACTATTTGTCAAATGAATTTGTCATTAAAAGCCTAATATATGCATGATTGAAATGCAAGACTTGCAGAATTTGTCAGTAAATATAAGGTATGTAAAAACATTATTAATTTTGCTATAATTAACTTAGAATAACAAAAGCGGATAAGCTTTCATGATGATTTTTCTGTGAAATTTTATATATTTTATTTAATTATTAATAATAATAATTAATATATAAGATGTTTTATTGGTGTAATAAGGCGATGATGGGTAAAAATAAACCTGTTCCGTTTTTTTTACATCGTATAAGGTATATTATTTATTATATCTTATGTACATTCAACATCGTCTTGACAACACCATAGGAAAAATGTTTTAGACATGTTCCAAAATTTGTCGACAGTAACTCTTTGCTTGCTTTTTTTTTTCTTGCATTTTCCTTTATACAATGAATCGAAGACACACGGAGGCGATTCGCTTAACCAATTTTATTGAAAACTCAGCTCGGCGAGTGTATATAAATTATTGTATGTGTGTATGATAGAGTGCGATGCATGTATGACTGTGTGCGTGTGAGTGTGGATATGGTATGTACGCATGTTTCTGTGAATTCTGTTTAATATATGGGACGGTACCTGTTTTTAATATGCTTTTCTTTTTTCGCAGATTTTATCGTTTTCGTTTTTTTCGAAGCAGGTACTTTGACAGAGTTCGCTGTAAATAGACTTGTAGAAAATAAGGATAAAAAACAATGCGCCCGCGTAAATCATTTAATTAACGCTTAACTAAATATAATATAATATAATAGCTGCATGTACACAAATTCGATACAACGATCGTATTTATCACTGTAGATGTAGCTTCGTTTCTTCTTTTTTACACGACAGAGTTTTCTCGAAAATTCCCAAAGTAGGAAAAGAACGCGTCACTCTGCCCCATCCATCTCTCGTCGCTAAATAATAATAGATAATTTACGATATAATTAAAACGTTTTGCAATTTAGTCAGATCTCTAAACAATAAATAAGTTTCTTTTCTTTTAATAAATAGTAATATAATTGAATTAAAATTGATTAAAGAGTTAAGCAAAACGCGAGAGGCGATTTGACGATTTTTCCTTTTAGTTATCTCGTTTTCGCTTTCTCTTTATCAGAAGATCGAAAAAGAAATAATGAATAAAAGAGCGGACAAAAATTCACCGCAACAAGGTGCATATTGAAGTAATTTTGATTTCCCAGGATTTTTCCTGCCGCTCTTTTCTATTCGATCTCGTCTCACACACTCTTTTTTAATAAAGCTTTACATGTATACGAGATAACCATAATATATACCAAAATATACGTGACATGTGAAGTACGATCGAAAGCTTTGAAAGTGTAACGCGTATTTTTTTATGTAAAAAAATTTAATCTATATAATGATGGGAGGGACCTAAGATTTTGGAGGGAAAGTCGACAGAATATAAAAAAAATTGGAGTAGTTGTACACGAGATACTTTCGCTATCGATTGATACATCCTCAGTTTCGCATATTTTTTTCTCTTGCGCCTACACGTGGCCGTGTGTGTGTATGTGTGTGATATTGATAGAGCTCTATGAAATCTAAATATCGATTTGTCGAAATTAACAACATCCTCAAAACTTCAGGTCGCACTCGCAGATTCGTCGCTAAAACACAGATAGTTATAGCTTGAAAATTTTTAAGAATCTCTTTCTCTCGTTCGTGGAGTTCCGACCGAACTTTATTACAATCGATCGCGGCGCGAATTCGACTCGCGTACAACTTTTTTTGTCTTCTTCCTCTTTTTCGGCCGGGACTCCGCGCGATCTCATCTTACGTTTTATCGTACTTTTTTCGTTTAACCTTTAATACGAACATTTAGGAAGATAGCGCTATAATTAATATCATCTGAAATTTGTTAACATTCTCTATATAAAAATCTGCATTTGCGTGTATTCACTTATTGCTTCTTAATCGTCGCCATTTTCAGTAGCTTACTCTTTCTCTCTCGCTTTTTTTTTTGTTTTTCCTAAGGGAGATTTTACTCTCGTCGCACGGTCTTCCGTTTTTCGTTTCTCTTTTCCTTTTTCGCAAAACGAACGCGGAAGGTGGCACGGCGAACCGAAAGACACTAGGACGTATCTCGGCATTTTTTTTATAATGCTACGAGTATGATCTCGAGTAACATTTTATGTACGAGGGAACGGTCGAAATATCGTTAGATCGTGCTTCGAGACAGAAGCGAAATCAGACGATTTTAATCGGACCGTTCGGCGCGCTTCGCAGGCGCGACTTTCGTCTCTTTGTGATTAAAGATAGGGAGGGCAATATGGATAGAGAATTGGCTGGCTGCGAAGCGCTACGTCGTTCGCTTTGTCGTTGTCCACTTTGTATCTCTGATTGAGCGCAAAATCTCGCCTGTTGAAGCGCGCCTTCCGCTTTTATTCATCGTCGTTTCGACATCGTCGACTATATATTACTAAACACATTAAATCGATAAATTAAAGAATAAAAAGAATTTCTCCGTGGCTTGTCGGATTCACTTGGAAGCCGTTTCAATCTCATGCGCGATATTTCTGTGTGTGTATATATATATTTCTCTCTGCCCTGTTGGTCTCTTTAAGAACAAATAGCCGGTAACATATGTATCCCGGGTACGTATCGTGGCCCGAGAAACAGTCTTTACGATTAGCAAATACGGATGTAACGAGATACGATGAAGCAAGCCTCTGGTTCTCTCTCTCTTTTTTTCTTTTGTTCTCTAAGAAAAAAAAAATTCCTATTATGCGAATACATATATATTGGAATGGACGTTGCTTTGCACGAGAAAACTCCTCAATCGGGCTATGAAAATGAAGAAATAAATCATTCGATGAAAATCATCGGTGAGCCTCGATGCCTTTATTGCGCGCATCGTCGCTCGCGTATACGTATTTTGTCCGCACATCTCATACCATTTACGCGTATACGTTCTTTTTTTTTACATTCTTCTCTTTTTTAGTTTTTCTCTTTCGTCATTCGTTAGAATCTGCTAGGGAAGAATGATGAGAAACGGAGTCGCGTCGACTCAAGATCTCGGAGCAACGATAAGTTCGTGCACGCAAGTCCCTTTCTACTTTGCTCGCTTTGCATTCCGAATAATGTTGATATGTTGACGCATTGCTTGCTATAGTGGGACGCGTTCAAAACTGTTCTTTCATTTTCTCACGTATCGTGCTCATTGTCTTCTGGAGCGAGAACAGACATTCCTCGCGGTGTCATTAGGCGATTTCTCTTATCGATAGAGAGTCTTTCTTTGTTCGTTCTTTCTGGTCGACATGTCTCGCGTATTTATAGTACAATAGATATCTTTATACGTATATAGAATAATTTCTCGTGATCGCACGCTCGTGTACATACGAATATAGCGCGAAGAGCGGGTTGTAGATTCTCTCAATTTCATGCACACAACTTGCACACATTCACTCGCATCCTCTCGTTTACATCGTGTCTCGCGCTAAAATAACTCTTGCACACTCGCGTTGGCACATGTCCGCCTTGTTCGTTTTGTCGTTTTTCTTATAATCGAAAGATATATCCCCATATAGGCCGCGTAATACGACATTCTTATATAGGCAACGCGAAGATAAAAACCGCGTAAAGTTACAGTTAATAGACATCTCGCAAACACTCACTCTCATTCGTAACTCGTCCTTGTTCTGTCAATTGTGTGCATTGTCGAGGCGACGTACGATAGTGTAATGTATTCGCTACATTCGCTATACGAAATAATGAATCTCGAAAATTCTATTACGGTCCGTTTTTGGTACAGTTCGTGATACGATTCTCTACTTTTCTAAATCATCGCGTTGTTTCTTTTTATCAGACGCACATTATTATATCGATTGTTACGTAAAGAGAGGCATAACTTTAGTATACTTAGAAAAAGCGAGGCCCAGGAGCAGACGTGTTCGAACGACATTTAGGCCGACATGTAGCTCGTCGTTCAATGCTTTATATCGCAGATATATATAATACGTACTAAAAGGAGCTGCTGTTCAGTACAAAATGTCGTAAAACGCAAGCACGACGAATAAAAAATGCGGCTGTAAATCTCAACGGATCTTCGAAGAAAAATATACAGCATGTACAATTCAACGGTTTACACCGAGATTTTAAAGTAAAACAAAAGGCTATTCACATTAGTGATGAAAGATTTAACGTGAATTTTGCGGCAGTGATTACAGAGATGAGTCGCGCAACTCCGTTGTCAGTCTGATCTTACGTATGTCGATCACGAAAACGGTCTAGGAAACGAAAGACAAAATCGATGCTCGTTATTCGTACAAGAAAATGTGTTACATTGATCCCGCCAAATATCTTTTAGAGCGATTTTTTACGACGTCCTGATCGATCTGAACGTAAAAATGACATTATTCGTTATCATAAGTGTGATTCTTTTGACATTTATAGATATTACTTACGCGAAAGTTTCGCAGTAGGTGTACCTACGAGTTTGATAAGTCGTTGTATGTGGTTTAAATGCGAGATAACGAATGTATGGTCCTCGTACTTTCTCGTTTCCTCCTGGCTTTGTCGAGGAGAGTTCTAAATGAATCTTTTCGATTCTTATTAAAGTGGAATGTCTGCAGTACGAGTGTTTGGAATTTCTCGACGAGACGGCGTTTGCGTTGTTTCGGAGGTGTCATTCAGGAAGATTCACCTCAGTCAACCACTGAACTACTTTACCGGATCTACTTGTGCGCAAAGAGATATTCTCTCGAGGATATTCTCGCTCTGACTAGGTAATCACGAGTCCTAGATGATACACGGTTCGTCGTCTCCCGCGATTCGTCTCACGGGACACCTCGGGAGAAGAATGGAAATTCGTGAGATCCATGGGATAGTAAAGTTCTATGCCGATTGACCGATTCTTACGTACGATCCCTTTGCAGGATTTGAGTAACCCTAATATATGGCCTATTACACGAGGAAACCTTGCGAGGTGGCCGACATTTGCGCCCGTAACGCCGTTACGCTGTTCATAATCTTCTTCTGGTGTCCCACGAGCGTTATGCCAAGAGCCGTGAGCTCCTGGACGGTGACACGCGCCGCAGCTTCCAGCGTCGTCACGCCTGCCTGCTCGAAGCTTTCCGCGTATCGTGACATCTTGATGGAAGCCAGCCATTCGCTGACAGAAGTCAATTGCGTTAGGTCCACCGCGTCCGGCGCCAGTGGATTGGTGCCCCTGTCGACAACAACAAGTTAAGAAATGCCTCTTTTTATGAATAAATAATATATGAAATGGGGAGATCGTAAGGGATTTGCAAGATTTCAAGCTTGTTTAGATCGTATCCTCTTGCTATGGAAATACATTCACATTCGCACAATTCATATGCATATTTTGTGGATATATTTGTTCATTTGCTATTGACTACATTACAAGTTGATGATAGAAGCTAAGAATGTGAAATAACGAAGATCATTATTGTTCGTTGTCTATAAATCGTTCTATGTTTTTTATCATCATTAGTGTATCTTCGCTATTTCGAGGGATATCGAAATACAATATACTGTTTATAAACGCGATCTCGTTCTTTTATCGACAATATACTCCTAAGCAGATCAGAGTTGAAACAATCGTATTTTACTTCTATATAAATCATATTGTCGATATGTATTAACTTTTATCGGTTGTAAAACGAGACCGAATTGCTTTCTAGTTTTATACATGGGGAAAGATATGTACAATTGTTCGATATATACAAATTCTAAGAGACATTTTATATACGAGATTATTGTTGTCATAATTATATATATATTGGGACAAAAAAATATTAATTATTCGAAACACTCGCAATGAGTCTACAGATTTTAAAATATCTGTGAGAAATAATTATAAAATAATTATTCAGTTGGTGTAAAGTTTATTTCACAAGTTTATGGGGACATAGAGCAGGGGAACATAAAACGAGGATCTTAACTTAGCTAAAAAACTATTTAAATATGTACACTTGACTCATAAGTCGTTCCTTACGTATATTATATCGATCTGGTATAAATTATAAATTATACGAGTTACTTAAAAAAAAAATAAACATAATCAATGTTATTGCGTATATGATTAATTCGTAAGATTTTGTGTATTTTCTCTTATCTGAGATATTACGTACACGCTAAAATATATTAATACGGAAGCGTACAATTTCTTTTTGCCTCGATAATAGAAATTATAATAATAATGAAAATTAAAATTAAATAATAATAAGTATCGTGATATAATAAAAATAATATTAATAGAGTAACAATCTGTGTGTATCAATATAATACAAATAATAATAATACACAAATACTGCGATAAAATTAACATAAATAATAATAATAATAGTGATAATACAATGATGACGCGATGACAATAATAAGGGCGGTAATAACGCTAATTACTAATATCGTCAGTAATGTCGTTGATGAACGAGAATGTGTCATATGTAACGCGTTAGTGGTGCATAGTTTACAATTGAGGTGTATATATACACGTGAATGGATTACGGTGCGTATGAAAGCAAGCAGTGCAACGCAAACTAAGGTTACTAAGCGCAAGGAATCTGCTATCTACGTGACGGAAATATTTAATTATCACGTCAAAGAAGCAGAGCAGAACGTGAAAGCACAGTCAATGTAATCGAATCGTCGAAATGTTAAAGGGCGAAGGCACTATTTAGGGCACTGGACGAAACAGAAATGATTGCGCTTTGTCCTTCTGCGCTTCTTTTTTTTTTTTTTTCGCTCGTATCCTAAAGAAGGAATTCGGTGTGTGGGTGGATGGGAGAATGCTGCGCTTTTGATTCTTTTTTCTTTTTCTTTACCTGTTTCTCAAACGCACGTTGGAAGATGCCGACGAGGCGGATGGGGGCGGGGTTGGTGCACCCCTTTCCCTGATTCTGACAATTGTTAGCATTTGTTAGTGCGATGGAGATTATACCGAATGTGTGTTACTATCTGCAGGCTATTGTTTCACCTATCTGGCTTTGACTCTCGAGCTTGATTTCTTCCCTAACGTTTGCGCAGCATGTGTGTTGATGCAAATACCCCTTCACGTTACCTTTCATAAGCAGCTTTGAGTAATTTAAGTTTTGAGTAAATAAAGAATAGTTTATACTCGTACTTAAAGATAAAAAATAAAAAGAATTCTTTCTTCATCAGTATTTAAAAAAAAAAACATATAAAGGAATTTGAACGAATCGTTTTCGTCATTGTTATCGGGTAAATGCTCACCTCCGGCTTTTTGATAAATCTTCACAAAGTTGTTAGAAACTTTCAATATGTAGCATAAAATTTTCAGAAGGCATAAAGAGAAAGAGTTTAAAATGCGAATCTCTTGCAATCGATAAGCTAGTGTATGTAAATCGGTCGTCTGTTTTAGAATGGCGTGTCGTGACCTCTTCATCACACTTTGCGGAATATTTTAGAATTTAATATTACGATTATATATACGATCGATTTATCGATGCGGAAATATGAACCGACATCGTGCACGATTAATTATATCGCGTCTTTTTATTTTTAACACACATTACGTATAAAAATACTATTCTAATATGGTCAACCGATTGCACGCGCGTGTATTGTACATATGCTGATAAATCTTTGCCGCTTTTGCTAAGATAAAATCGATGGCTTTAATAAATATTATACGATAAATACTTATATCAATTTTATGTAAATGATATAGAGGGTGTCAAAGAAACTATAACTGTTATTTTTTTTTATATTACTACAGTTCTTTTTTAAGCAATTTGCAAATCATTTTTTTCGTATCAAAAGTTTCATCTTATCGAATCTAGATTGATCAAAGAATTCGCAATTGAAAGAGCAGAATGATATTAATTCCGGGACATCCTCAATAAATTTGTATGTGTATACATATATATGTATATACTTTCTTCGTAATTTTTCTTTTTACGTATATATCCATAAAAGTTATAATCACTAATCTAGAAACATCTGAAAGACTAATTGTTTTCATGCACACCACGTTGAATCGTTTTTTATTCTCTAAGCTTTGAATCGTGTATATGTATTGCTATTCGATGGTTGAATTTATCTTCTATAAAATTTGGAAATTCTTAAACGCTCAGTTTATATATCTCGCTTCAATTTATATATATATATAAAATTGATAATATATGCTCTAACTTTTTATACGGTAAAATTTATTGCTCAGTTATGCAACATAGAAATTCTCTATATTTTCTAATATCTACGCTATTTATTCTCGCGTTTGTCGATAATTTGTAATAGAAACACTATATAAGAGATTTCTTTACGACGGTACTACTCTCTTGTACATACAGTCTATAACACTCGGATGATATTCCTATCGATACTGCGCGTACCTATATTCGTTACATTTACTATTCCGTCTGACAACTTGGATTACACGCTTCTACTATTTCGCTGGAAGAGCGCCTACAATTTCCCTACGACTAGCGCGATCGTGAAAAGTAATATAAAACCATAGCGATATAGAATGCAGTCTTTTGAGATTCAACGTCCGGCGTTCCAATGCCAAACATTAGTTTCGACGGCTAGAAAGACGGGCGGAGAAACGATGCTTTTGCTCGTTCTAATCTTTTACAAACGGGACCCCTCTCTCAGTTAAAATGGGAGAACGGGACCCAATTGGGATAGGCGAGCGGTGATTGTTGGTGTGGCAGTGCGTGTGTCGCTGCGTGTGTGTGGTAGTGTAAGCTACGGCCGGCTCCTGGTGGCATTACTGGAACGGCAATCGCTGACTGGGCTTGTTGATGGGCCTGATGGCCGACTATGTCTACGAACGGGCCCGCCGTGCTCGCGGCTGGGCCTGGTGGCATCGCAGCCGCCACCGCAGCCTGGACGGCAGCCGTATGGCTTGTGACATAGTACGGATTGTGTGCAGGCGGCCTCACGCTGTAGTTGGTTGTCGTGGTCGTGGTCGTGGACGATAGTTGTCGCAGTTGCGTTGCAGTTGCAGTAGTTCGCGTGGTCAGGTACCAAAGGACACCACAAAACCAAAAGCACAAAGAATTAGCCCAGGAAAAAGAGGCGGAATGGAAGGAACAGGAGAGAAACCAACGAGATTTTCCAAATGCAAATACTGCGATGTCATTGGCATAGAAATAAATCATTTCGCGATATAATTATTTCGTCCATGCCAACGGGATATAGTCGGAAATTATTATAGGAAGGAGGTTTACCCCTCCCCTCCCCCCTCCCGATTTTTCATTGCAGTTATAAGTTTCGATTCTCGTATTAACGCGAAATTTTAAATTATATTATTATTACAGAACTTGCATTATAAACAAAAATTTTTGTCTTGTAAATATTTTTTTTTTTTTTTTAATTTACTTTCGATCGCAGCAAAATTTAATTTTATAAAAACCCATCAAAGAAAAGAGCAATGCATAGATAAAATTAGCTCTTATTACACATAGCTGCATCTTGTAAGAAATAATTGCGTAAAGTGCGAACCATAGACTCAAGAAGTGTAGAGACGATAAGCGGCGAAAGCGATTGTGAAAGCTCTGTTAAAAATCGTCGCGATCTCGAACGTGGTAAAAAGCGCGGTAAAAATATTCTACGCAACTAAGACGTAGACTTTCGTCCATAAATTAATTTTCCCGCCAATTGATGCAGAAAAGAACTTTTTCGGCCAAGCAGCGTGCTTTTTCGAAATATGCAAATGTGACTCTCTTCGATATAAAGATATCGAAATTTTTCGTAACAACGAGACATCATGCGGAAAGTGTGTGCTATTGCAAGAAGCAAGAGAGATTCGAATTCTTCAAAGCGAATCTAATGATCAGCTTGTCCTTTCTCTCGTGCATGTCAGAAAATAAATATCAAAGTAGCGTACATATAATAGAAATCAATTTTGACGATTATTATCTAGAGGGATTATTGCACCAAGAGAACACCAAGAAAAAAAATAAAAAAAAAAAACAGAAGAAAGTACGAGAACAAAAGCAATAATGCGAATAATGACAGTCCAGTATGTATATGCTCGCTTCCAGTAATGCCAATCAGGTCGAGGTATCACGACGACGCGAGCATGAGTATGCACACATCCCTTTTTTTTGATCGCATATATGGGCACATAATGTATGTGTACAAGACTGTGTGCTTGTGCGGAACATTATACATCAATGAGCCATAATGTCAAAGCCCATTGTAAGTAGCGTGAAACGGATATAGCACAACATAATCTGTGCGTGAGAGTTTCGGCGAATGAATGAAAATAAGTATTAGCTGTCGAGAGAAATTATTCTTATTAAGATATTAATGAACAAATGACTCAACAAAGATATAAAAAAGAGGGAAAAAAATGGTGATAATGCCAATGAAAACTATTTGCAAACGTGCGCACGAAGCACTTAAATAAATTTTATTCGTTGTGTACCGATTATAATTTATGTATTTCGTCGTATACGTTTTCTTTACGTTAAATGATGATGATCGTATTGTCTGCTAGACAATTGATTCGCAATATAAATTTCCTAACATTGTTTTTACGATTAATATATCCTAGGGGTATTGTTTCGTAATCTTATCACGTATCAGCATTTGGCGATCACTACTCGTGGATCAAACAATGACAAGTGGGCGCTTCTTACCTGTTCTGAGCAATTTTTCTCAGCGTGTCCGGGCTTCGTATGAGCTTGTCCAAAGTCTGCGTGAGATTGGCGAAGGTTGGCCGATGGGTGCGTTCCTTCTGCCAGCAATCGAGCATCAGCTGGTAGATAGCCTCCGGACAGTCCATTGGCGCTGGAAGCCTGTAGCCCTTCTCGATCGACTTTATCACATCTTGATTCGACCAGTTCCAGTACGGCCTCTCGCCATACGACATTACCTCCCAACACACGATGCCCATACTCCAGACGTCGGAGGCGCTGGTGAATTTACGGAAGGCTATCGCTTCCGGTGCCGTCCACCGCACCGGGATTTTACCGCCCTAAACATAAGATAAATAAAAAATAGATCGATATTAATCGAGAAACCATAGTCAGTAAACATATTGGTATGTGCCATGCAAATTTTGATTTCGCAATATGAATCTATCGCTCACCCTGGTCGTGTAAGCTCCCTCCGTGGCGCTCTCGATCTCTCTACTGAGTCCAAAGTCGGCAATCTTGCAAACCAGAGCGGCGTTGACTAACACGTTTCTCGCGGCGAGATCGCGATGCACGTAGTTCATCTCCGCGAGATACTGCATACCGCTGGCAATGCCGCGCAGCATCCCCACCAATTGAAGCACTTGGAACTTGCCGTCGTTAGCGCGCAAGAAAGTATCCAGGCTGCCGTTCTCCATAAACTCCGTGATGATCATCACCGGATTGCTCTTCGTTACAACGCCTTGCAAGAATATCACGTTGGGATGCTCGAACTGGCCCATTATCGACGCCTCTGTCAGGAAATCGTTACGCGCCTTGTCTGCAGAGCCCGGCTTCAGCGTTTTTATGGCCACATCTATTTCCGTCCGTCCGTCAGGAGGCAGCTTCAGTTTCCCTCGGCAGACGTCGCCGAATTCTCCGCCACCTGTAACCGTAAAAAAGATTATCAAGAGGATCTAATCAAGTTCTAAAATTATTTTAAAGACACTATCAACAGAGTGATATTACATCAATTGCAGTATATGTGATAATATATAGAATCGCGTACCTATGATTGCCTCTATCGTGATGTATCCGGCGTCGATCTCGCGAGCGAATTCTCGTACAGCCTGATTCGGATCCTCGTAGGTGTGAGGATCCACGTAACTCCTCGCACCTGCACCGCCTGCGCCGCCTGCGCCCGCCGCGGCGACCCCCACTGCAGGTGTGAATAGCGGCGTGGTCACTGCAACGTCACGAAAACAGAGTTCATTATATTAACACGAGGGCCGGTGGTGCGAAATTTTGACAGAACTTTAGACCGCGCGTCTCAACATTCTTTCTATCGCGCTCGGCCAACCGTGTCAAATACCGTGTCAAAAAAGTAACACTCACACATTCTCCCTCGTTAACGAGTTTGAAATTTCCAAAAAACAAGACACAATCAAGAAAGCCAAACGCAGGTGGATTCTAACGATAAGATATATTCTCCTCTTTCAATCCCACTTTACTCAATCAATAAGAGTCATCTTTTACTTGTATGTGTTTATCTATTTTAAAATCTGGTCTGTTTAAATGTCGAACGGCGGTGTCTATGTACGCTAAAAAAAAAAATTTCGCGCGTAGCCACATGCCAAAGTGCATATTTCTTCATGCCTGCATGTCAAATTATTTCCAAGTTATTATTGATACATTCGCAAAGTCTAGCGATTAACATTATTCGTCCTGGATACTTCAAACGATTCAAAAACAGCTTTCTCTCACAATATTTTTTTTTTTTTATTCAAATCAATTTAGCCTCTATTTGAATCGTTTCAAAATATCCAAGTGTACTTTGCGCATATCGATGCAAGAAGAAGAGCGATCGCAAAGCACGATCATCTAAAAAAAATAATAAAAAAATAAGACAAAACTTGATGCAAGAACACAATGATGCTGCAATTACGTGCAAAATACGACGGGGCCGCGGCATGCTTTTATTACTTCCGTACTTTTCATCCATATCGCATATCCAGGACAGTGAAGAAAGAATAGAATAGAGTGTAGAGTAACTATAAAGCGAAACTATAATAAACGTGGAGAACTCGGAGTGAGTGTGTGCGAATGTCGGTGCGTTCGGTTATATCTTTAATATGTCATACGAACGTGTCTGCGCGAGTTTTGCGGTCGCATAAGAGTTTTGACTTGGAAATCGCTTTGGGAAACAAAGGACTTACGCGAGGACTTGCTCTTGTTGTTGGTATGGGTTGTCACAATCGGTGAACTGTCCATTTTGCAGTGCACTGTGAACAACACAACAACCAACACACTAATTGACAAACAGAAAAACAAAAAAAGCGGCGGGTGTTCAATCATGAAAATTTTTTTTTCTTTTTTTTTTTTAATGACGTAAAGCGAGAAATGAAATAGAGAAAAATCTCGATTTGATCACACGAATAAAGCCATTAAACATGTAATTGAATTCAAGTGTGAAAACAATTATTTCCGATATTAGACAATTGATGCTCTGATTTGAAAAAAAAAATCCTTTCACAATGCATAGTTTTATTTTTTCTTGTCTCTTATGTTCGTCGGTTATGTTCTTCTTGATTTGTTTTATGAATCAAATATATCAATATGTATAAAAGGCATATACGATAATATAACATCGACATATACTAATAGACAATACGCATGCAATATTGACAAAGGATGCGATACAACATACGCAAGCACAATGCACGCTGAACACGCACAATGTGTATTTAAGAGAATTAGGTGTCGTGCAAAATTGTTATGTGCGCGCGCGTGTGCACGTGTGCCTGTTTTGTATGCGTGCGTATATGCGTAATATGTGAGTGTGTGTGTATGTGCAAAAGCGTAAAAGTCTGAAGGTGTAATGCATGTATAGGGGTTGCAAAAATAATCTACACAAAATTGAGTTCCTAGAAACAAAAAACTTGAGGTGTTTGGAGAAGACTTACTGTAGGTCACAACTAGTCCTGTAGTAGCAGGCGATTGTGTACATTGTTTCATTGGGTTTTTTCATGGATTTTTCATGGAGGCAGGTTCGATAGATTAGGGGAATCGCACATGAAAAGAAAGAATCGAAAGAATTTGGTTAGAATAATCGCACTCGGGCCGCGGGCCAGATCAGTGAGAATTTTGGTACGAAAGCGATCGTTTCTCTTTCTGTTCCATATCGAATGGACGCATTTCAGAGTCCCCGACTGCTTTCTTATTGCATATTTTTTTTCTACAGTGTTAATGTTTAGCTATCTCTCTTTCGCTCACTTTCATTCGTAAAAAAAATCTCTACTAAGGGTACTGTTTAATTGTATTATCGTGAGTCTGTTTGCATACGGGGTATAGCTTCGACACTTGCTGGATCTAAGAGAGGGGCGGGCGGGGCAGTGATTCCAATATATATTAGTCACAAGACACGAGGGCGCAATGAAACAACTATAAAAGTGACAGGGGGTAGCAGCGATAATAAATCTTTAAAGAGGAAGAGAAACACTTTGAGCAAAATGCGAACGTACCTTCGCCGTTTCGGTACTCCAGAGTATCGCAGTCGCTGGGCTGCTTCTTGTTGCACTCGTCCGAGGCCCTGCTGCAACGAAATCGCATGAATCGCATGAATCTGCTGCAACGAAATTGAGCAAAATAATTGAAAAAAAAAAAAAAAAAAAAAAATTTTTTCCCAGTGATATGCAATGGTTCGATAATTCACAAATATTTCTTTCTTAATTATGAAATAGAAAATATTTTAGAAATATTTTTTTCTCCAGTATTGAAAATGATTCAATTACCTTCTAAGAATCAAAACGGTCATGATGATAATAATCACAAGAAGTACGACGACAGCGACGATTGCCCCTGCGATTATCCTAACTTGCATGTTGTCGTCCTCGCCGACGTAGTCTGTGCGCAGAGTGCTCGTATTAGAGATATACAGTACACGAAGGAGATTGCAAAACGCGAATCTGAATGTCGTTCACGCGCGCTTACCTAAACCCATGGCGTGGGGTGTTTTCTTAAATACCACCGGCGTATACTCGCCCCAGCCGCGGGTGGTCTTGGCGCGAACCTGTATCGCGTAATCCGTGGAAGCCTTTAGGCCTTTGAACGTGGCGGACAGCTCAGACGTTTGAATGACGGTTGCATTAGTGGCGTCGTCATAGCGCGGGTAACACCTCACTAGTATCAGATATCGAGACGATTATTAATCCCGCTGCCGCGCGATCGAGTGACAATTTAGAATTGATATCGCCGCGCAGCATTGCTGGCAGAGCTTTGTATCACAGCGGGACTTTAGCTTTACCTTCGTATCGTTCGACGAGATCGCTGTCTCCGCCGACTTCGATGACTGGCGCGTCCCAGCTGATGCTGAGCTCCGAGCTCTTGACACTCGTGATCCTGACGTTGCTCACTAGACTCGGCACACTAGCTTCTGTTGTAACAGTAATATCGACGTATTCCTTCTTTTGGGTCAACAACGATACGCCATTCTGAGCGAATACTTGGAAGCGATAAGTAGTCACCGCGTTCAGACCGGTTATCGTGATTTTTGTGTCGTTGAAGGTTTCCTATTGCAAAATCAAAGCAATTCCGCGTGAAATTTCTAATCAGAGAATAATTTATTCTGTATTTTTACGCAATCTGTGTTTTGCATACAAACGCATACACACATATACGGTTTTGAAGAAAACTCACAGTATTAGGAATGTATTTGACATCCGTGCTGCAAGCATCGCAAACCACTTTATAAGTCGTGTCGGACCTGCCACCTTGCATATGCGGCGCGTTCCAGGAAAGGATCACCGTGGACTGATCGACAAAGTTGACGGTCAGGTTTTGCGGTGCCGAAGGTGGTTCTGCAAGAAGTATATTCTTCAAGATTTTCGCCCTCCCTCAAATTCTCTCCATCTCCCATATTTACGCGCAACGTTTTAAATTAAAGTAACAAGTATAAGTCGTGCATATTAAATAGTTAATAATGCAATTATAAAGTGCGGAATTCGAACATATTAACGACAATATTTCGGAGAATTTTATTCGAATGTTTAAAAATATTTTTAGATTTCACGATTATATTTAAATCTCGGCAAAAAAGATGTTCCATATAAAATTCAATTGATACTTACGCGTACAAGGCATATTCTTGGGATCCTTTTCTGCCCGATAATAGCCCGGGTCGCAACGACACTCCGTAAAGCCGTAATCGGAGGCTTTGCTGTGCTCCGGACATGGTTCGCAGGTGTGGGAGCCCGCCTCGTGCTTGAATTTACCTATTGGGCACAACTTGCACTGCTGCTTCTCCACGTCAGCTTGATAGCCGGGTTTGCAGTGACATCCACCCGTGGGTAGATACCATTTGCCGTCTCCCTTGCAGAGGAAAGTCGGCTGGGCGATTTTGACGGCATTCTCAACGCAAATACCGAGCGTTTGTTCAATGAGCGCGACTTCGCGACCGGTCGGCGTGGACGGGAAACGGGCAAAGTTCACCGAGATCTCGGGACAATTGATGTAGTACACCTTGATGGCCAGGATCGATATGCAAGCGCCCTGATCGCGAAAAGCAAAGTAGACACCCTTCTTCGTCACCGGAATCGACTTTACCTCCGTGTTTATTACCACCTCGGCGTTCGTATTGAATCTACCCTCACCCGCGGCAATGCGACCTGTAAATATGTCAAATATGTCAGTACAGAAAAGCAGATATTGAAATCCTCGACCAACTCAGTCAAGGAAGGAGAAATAATCTATTAAAAAACGCAACTTATGAATTATACGATATTTAAATTTTTTTCATCTTTAAAATTTTTTTCAATTATTATTTTTGTTGTTGAAAAATGCAAGCTTTTAAACTTGATATTTTTAGAATATCACCATTACATACGCTCCATTTCAAAGATAAAAGTTTTAATAGTTACGCCTCATTGCGCTTACCGATAAGTTTATAACTGTCTGGCTCCCATGGAGGCGGTTCCTTAGTAGCAGCATCAAACTCGTAATACAGCAGACTGAAGGTCTCTTTACAGCTGAGAGCATTCCCGGGGAATAGCGAGCAGTCGCGGGTCGTGAATTTTATTTCTATGTACATGCGGTTCGCCGGACCCCTCTCCACGAATGGCGTCCACAGCCAATTGTTCACATTGTTGTACGCTACGTCGCATACAACGTAACTCCGCCAATTGATACCCTTGTCGAAGTTCGTGAAAGACTCCTCTACCCACTGTAAAGAAAATGTTAAACAAAACGAATGAAGAGAGATCACGTTTCAGACACATTTCCTTTTTTAATTTTTAACTAAAGTTAATGAGACCGATGTAGATGGAGCAAGAAGGATCCTATTTCAAAAGTATCGAATATCCGTTGTACTCGAAGGTACAATTCCATAGTTAAAATCCGCGATTCTCTTCTAACCCAGTTCTACGCGAGTTACGCCACGTAATCGCGACGAAAGCGAAAAAGCACCACCCCGTCGCCGTCGTCATTGTCGTCGACATTGGCCGTAGAATCCTCCCTCGGTAAATGACGAGGCGGAGAGGCCAGGTCGTCGACTTGCGACAAACAGACCGCAAGGAATTACCGGCGCGCGTTACCATTAGTTTTATTGCCCCCCTCGGCTCTCGGGCTCGTCCCGAGAGCGACCGCAAAAAGTTCCGACCGGGGCAAGAAGGATCCATCGTCGTCGTCGTCTTCGTCGTCGTCGTCGTCGTCGTCGTCGTCGTCGTCGTCCTCATCGTCACCGGAACCGTCTTTCCCTCTCTCCTCCCTTTCCTTCATTCTCTTCTCTTTCTCCAGTTGTCCTCCTCTTCCTCTCTCCTCGTCGCCCTTTTCTTCTTCTTCTTTTTTTTTTTTTTTTTTTTTTATCCTCGAAGCCATCCCTCACGGTCGACTTAATCATCGGCGTCGTCGCAATGATTCTTTTGCACATCGCTCGATCGTGGGTAAAATTTCAAGGGGTACGCGCGCGTTGCGCATCGCGTCGATGAATATGTAAAGCAAGCCGTCGTAATTACCGTGGAACAATATCGTCGATCTGAGATTCCGAACGTTCAACAACGGTATCCACTTAATTATCGTAGGAACGTAATCGCGGCCGTTTAATCAAACGTATATGTAATATCTCCGCTCCCGCGTATTTCATACTCGGACCAGGAAAGACTCGGCAGGTAAGGAATGATAAAAAAACGGTAGACCGAGGTAGAGAGCCGTGAGCCTCTTATCCAGAAGATTTCCTCACGGACGTGTTTCCGGCAGGCGGGCTGCAATAAATTCAAGCCGCGCCGGCTACCCGGTTGCAAAAGGGAGATTATTACGGGGACGATGACGAGGTCGAAAAAATTTCATTAAAGCGCTGCCAGCGAAAAAAAGCTTTTTCAGCGGTCCGCACGCTCGAAAGTACCCGAGCAGCCGGGGAATCACGGAGAACCAACAGTTCCGCAATTCGCCGTCGTCCGCGCATCGAATTACGATCCGGTATCCTTCGCACGCCTCCGATCGCAATTAATAGTTTTTAGCGAGGTTTGCGAAACGGGATTTACATCGCTTTTAAAGCGAGCACCTCGCGTATATTCCTTTAACGATATCCTAAAATATATCCTCGATAACAAATATAATTAAATAAACGATGCTGTCATCGCGCTTTACACGCGAATTGAAAATAAAAATTCAGAATCCACTTTATGTCCTTTTTTATTCTACAGTTATTTTTATTCCTTATCGCGAACTTCTCCCTCTGCCAATCGACATTCACGTTTCGCCCGAGGATTATTAAAGAAATGAGAAAACGCGTTACCACTATCATGCACGTGTTTATTCGGATGTCTCTGCCGAGGTTTTTTATCGTCGGGGAAATTTCATTAGAACGGTGAAATTCAGCCTCCTTTTCGCCCGGCGCTCCATGAGTCTATGTCTATTCCCTGCTGCTTTTATCCCGCTGCAAGCCGCGAGAAAAAGGCGGAGGAGAGGCCGCGCATCGTTAACGTCGCGCGGCATTTAATTGGATCGCGTCGAGAGATCGCGTCCTCTTTTTAACGCGTTGCGGTCGATTTTTCGGCGAGGCGGATTTTCCGCTCGGTGTGACCGTCCCATGAAATTACTCATAGCATGGAGGGGAAAAAAAAAGACGATAACCACTGCCGTATCTCATTGCAATCTTACGTCGTTTTCGTCAGTCGTGCACGCACAGATGCATCCAAGATGGCAAGAGATATTTTCCTCCTTTTGCTGTACGATCGGTTTAAAGATCGCCAAATTTTGTTAAATGAATATTCTCTTATTCGTGCATGTTCGTAAGTCAGATTATATAATTTTGGAAAACCGCAAAAGAATATTACAGAAAGAATATTTGTTGGCGCAATTTATGTTAATCATTTTTAAGAATTCTTTATATTTTGATAAATTATTACCAACTTTCTTTCTGTTACACAGTTGAAAAATTTGTGTTAAATTTTTAACATATACCTCATGTCCCAAACGGTCCACACAAAATTTTTGTATTAATTTAATATAATATGGATATGTTAAATGGCAACATTAATACTGTATTAATATTTCATAGTAATTCGAAATAAATTTTGTATAAAATCAACATATTTTTAATGATAAAAAAGTTATTGACAATCTGCAATCATTCTCACTCCTATTATAGAATAAAATCAACTTTTTTTTTTTCTGCAAATTTTAACAGATAAATCCTGCCACTAATAATACGAAATATATCTGTTATGTAAAATTAAAAATATGTGCACATTGTATTATTTTGACACTTTTTCAGTTGTTTTAATAATCTAATACTTGAGTTTAATTAACACAACAATATGTTAAATTAATACATAAATGTATTAAATATTTAACACAAAAATTTTAAACGGCATATTTTTTAACGAGGAGACATAAATTTTCAAACTGTGTAAATTAGGAAAAGCATTACACAACGCTGGTATGCGAAAAATATAATTGGCATTAGAATAGCACGATGGTATTTTTCCTTGAGCGCGTACAGTTGCCCGTTTGCATTAAGTATAACTGAGAGATTGCGCATCGATCGATGTCTCGAAAATGCTATGCGGTTAGCACTTTGTGGCCGAGTATCGATCGCACGCCCTCGCTTCGCCGTCTCGCAGCAGGTAGACGCGTTTTCCTATTTTCCTCGCCGAAGGCACGGAGCGAAGCAACAGTACGTGCAAATCGTTGGTTTCCCTCGATCTTTATTTTCGACGTAAAGCGATGCTACCCCGACCGGTGATGATAAATCACAAACCGAATTAAAGCGTTACATTTCGTTTGTATTATTTTCCGTATCTTTGGATTGAGATAAAAAAATTTCTTGCCTCTTCATCCCTCTGTATACCGTAATCCTTTTGTTATAAAAAATCATAGCAAATATACAAGAGACTCTCGACCCGACCGATCCTTATTATTCCAAACCAGTTATTTGTCTTGTTTCTTCACGGTTAAACGTCTATAATTCGTTGGAGAAAGACCAACCGACAAGAGGTAGTACACTTTGGGAGCCATGTGGTCAGCGTGACCGAGGCTACCTGCGAGCCACCCTGCGGTGCACTCGCCAAGAAAAAGTATCATCCGCCGCCCATGGCTTTTCCCGCGGATCAAACCGTGGCAGTAAATAGATACGAGTCGATGGCTCAGAAGTAAAGCCAATAAGCTCGCGCGCGCGCTTCTGGATAAAGAGAGACGGAGGAACGGAGAGACTTAGACGTAGGATGCTGCCACCCTTGCGGATGGGGAACTGCCCCTGCGCCAGTAATATCGCCACCATAATCGCAATTCCGACGGCGTAGCTCCGAATAGGGAGGTTAGCGAGAGTCTGCGGGAAGACTTGGACGCGGAGGAGGGGGCGTTACGAACTTTTAGTCCGAGGGGTTCGCGGATCTTAATATATATTGAGCTCTCGTGTGAGCCGGGGGTTAACCCTCGCCCTTGGGGTGAGGTTGCATCGGCAGGCACGTAGGGGCTCTCTCCTCCGTCGAGCTACGTGCATCCGGCACGTTATGGTCCGCTCACGACGGACACGTACCGCATCCAGACGCGATCGAACTTTCCCCCGTTCTTCTTCTTCAAGCCGACAACTTGCAAGAAGTGACGTTAATTGCGTTCATAATAAAAAATTATGAAAAAGAATGTTATTATTAAAGTTTCAAAAAATATACTATATTTAATATTATTAAATATTAATATTATATTAAATTCTCTTTAATATTATGATATATAAATCAATATTTATATATCATAATATTAAAGAGAGTTTCTTCTCCCTCTTGTTTAAACGTACGAGAAATAAATCTATCTTAATCCATTTGTCTTTTCTCGTATGTATTCTTGCATTTAGTGTGAACAAGGCCATATCGTAATTAGAATTCTAAAGACACGAGTATCAATTTTGCGGTAGAGGAATGTATATAGAGAGCAAATACGTAGAGGAGAGTATATATAGAGGCAAATTTAATAGGGAGTGTGCCCCCGTCATTATCCTGTCGTAGGAAGTTCATTAACTCGAGCATGCCCGACTCGCGAAATGGTCGCCGCTTTAAATACAATGGTACAGATATCGCCCGCGATATAATACAGCGTCCGGCCGAGGGTAGTCTGTCCGTTACGGGCGAACAAGTGCACATATGTGTATACCCGAGCAGGGGAGGATGGGCAGTCATCCCTCGGACATGGTATGGGCAGACAGGGGTGGTTACGCCACGCGCCAATCGAAAACTTTATGTAACCGTTTATTCCGCGCACCCCAAAGCCGATATAACCGTATTTCGGGGCGAAAGATTGGCAGGAAGACCATTTAAGAAGCATTTTCACGGTTCCTCGACACTTAACCGAGATTCCTCTCTCTCTCTCTCTTTTTCTCTTTTTTTTTATAGATACGTACATACATGCGAATATATACGCGTATATATGCGCGTGCGAGGGGAGAAAAGATCGTCGGTGAAATAAGAAAGTCGAGGGAGAGAGAAGGTGTCGGGTGAGAATTTATTTCCAGATTATTTGGGCCGGGAAACGGCTCCGGGGTGGAGATCTTCCTTCCAGAAAAGGACAAATCGTTCTCCACCGCGGGATCGAAACGCTGCCGGGAGAAGCAATTTCCAGCCGCGAGATTTACGACGCGAAGATCGACTCCTCGCAGGGGATCTCGCAAAATTCGGCTATGCCGATATCCGACACCCGATGTTTCTATTTACCGCGCGGGGAGAAATTGTATCG